GGCGACCTGCCCCTCGGGGAGCGCGGCCGCCGAGTGGCCTAGCGGGGACCCTCCCCGAGCGGGGCCGGCCCGGGGCGGGGAGATGAACGGCTTCAGCACCGAGGAGGACAGCCGCGAAGGGCCCCCCGCCGCCCCCGCCGCCGCCCCGGGCTACGGCCAGAGCTGCTGCCTCATCGAGGACGGCGAGCGCTGCGTCCGGCCCGCGGGCAACGCCTCCTTCAGCAAGAGGGTCCAGAAGAGCATCTCGCAGAAGAAACTCAAGCTGGACATCGACAAGAGCGTGAGTGCGGCCCCCGCGCCCGGCCGTCCCGGCCCCCACCCCGCCCGGGCTCTCGCGGCGCCCCGCGCTCCCGGCCTCGCCGCCCTTTATCTGCAGAGCCGGCGAGTGGGAGTTTGAAAGGCCGCTCGGCGCTGACATGCCGGCGCGGCGATCGCGCCCAGACCCGCCTGCGGAGCTTTGACACCAGTTTTGATCTTGTTTTATTGGTATGGAGCAGGGAGAGGTGCTTAATCTTGTTGGCCCACAAAGGAGAGAATATGGGGGCGAGGAAGGGACCCGAGTCTTCTCTAACTTCCCTCCTCTTTTCGGAGCACGGTTCTCACTCCCCAGGCTGTGCGGCGGGTCCCCGAGCTCGCAGCTTCGCAGGCAGCTGGGAGGAGCTGGGGTTTTCAAGGATATGGCAGAAAAAAAATAAGCTCAAGAGCAAGTCTTTGGAGTCGATGTGACTGGAAGGAAAAAAAAAAAAAATTCAGTTTCCCTTAGAGTCATAGCTTTAGAAATCCGGGGTGGGGGTTGGCGGGGAGTGTTCCCTGGCTGGGGGGGAGGGCGGTGATTTAAATGACAATGGAATTACATTGTGTTTTGTGTCTAACTTCTCCTGCGTGGTTTTACTTTCTCTAGTTAACAATTCTAAAGATGTGCCTATTGTCAACCAATTAAGAACTTTTTAGTTTGACATCTGTTGCTACAACAAGCCTTAGTGGCTTCTTTAGGATTAGAAATTGGAAATGAATTCGTATTCGGGATGACTGACTAAGAGCTTAAATGGTTAACATCCATTTGCTACTTAGAATCTTTCCACTTGGGAAAAAATCCGAGAATCCTCCACTGTTTGTGAAACTAAAAGAGATACTATTTTTCACCTGTGATTTTTTTTTTTTTATCACTGAGGCCTAAAGATTTTTAAAATGGCATTGCCCAAAGTCATATAGCAAGTTACCCACTGCTAACAAGTCCCCTCTGACCGTACAGAGCAAAGGAGAATTGCCACATCTTTGTTCTTGGGAGCTTTTGGTTGGTGGGATAGAACAACTGACAGGCTTAGCAGCCTGCGTGCTTAAACCACTGCACCAGCAGGCACTTACCAAACCAAACCTGCCCCGGGTTGAGTTCTGACTCCTAAGGACCATCCATCTGTGTCCGAGGTTGTAAACCTTAATGGAAGGACAACTGCCATATATTGCTCTCTTGTTCCTGCTGGTGGATTTGAAACTCAAACTTTTCACGTAATAGTTGTTGTCACGTAGCATCGAGTCAGAATTGGCCCATAACTGACCCTCTAGTAAGTTTTCAGAGGCAGTAAACTACAAGGGAGATTGTCCATCTCTCTCCCAGAGAGCAGCTGGTGGATTGGAACTACGGACCTTTGGGTTGGCAGCACAATTCTTTACCACTAAGCCACTACTCTTAGTAGTACAACATGTGCCAACACAACTCCATACACAACACCTTAGAGTCTGGTAAATTTCTTAATTTCATTATTTAATTTACTTCCAAATCCCATTTGTCAGGTTTAATGGAATCTTTGAAAAAATAAAATGTTTTCCTAATTCTTTATTCCAGACTATCCTACTCACAGGTTTGGTTCTTTGTTGTTGTTTTAATGTTATAATCCATTTGCAGCTTGTGATAGAAAGGTGCTTCTGAGGGTGAGTGAGCTAGTGACTTTTTAAAGAAACTACAAATCTCTATGAATGAATAAAGGATGGCTAGAATTCTTCTGAGACCAAACAATTGTTGAGACACCAAAGTGGTCCTTATTATCTAATATGTTGAGGTGAAATGGTTATTTAGAGGACAGCAATTAATTCATCCACTTGGAATCTGACTTGTTCTGTATAGATTGTTGGGTGCCTGGCAGCTTACAACAATAAAGTTTTCCCTCATCTTTAAAAAAAAAGGAAGGAAAGAAAAAATTTTCAGTCTTTTTAAACCATTAGTTGCCCTTCAATCTAAATTACCCTAATATTGTCACTCACCCAGTGACTCCAGTAGGAAGCCTGTCTTGAGCTGTGTTGATAATTTTACACACTGCCTAGAAGAGAGGCAGCTAGACCTACCTCTAGTGTTACCAAAAGGTAATGCTTCTGACGGCGTAGATTTACAAGGTAGAATCACTCAGTTTATTCCAAGGTGGTGTTGTGCAGTCATTATTTCTGAATGAGATTCTATTTCATTTTCTCAGGCTTGGGCAGGAATTCAGTTCAAAGTAACTACTGTGTTAAAAGAGTTTTTATCTGTTGGAAAAAATGAAGCAGAGGGGAAAAAAGATACAAGAGTCTTTGCTGTCATGCTACCCCCACCAAAAGGTTACTGATCTCGAGAATTCTTTCAAAACTTGTGGATTGATTGGTTATAAGAAATAATTCTTATTTATATTGTAAAAAGGTCTAGCAGAGACACTTTTTTAAATAATTACGCCTAAAATTCTGACTGAGACAGTTTAGTCTTTTACATGTAGAATTTGGTGATGTTTTGTTCCATTAAAAGTTATTGTTTGAGGTTAAAAAAAAATCTAATGTACTTTCAAACACTTGCCTATTGACGTATTTTCTCCTCCTCCTCCTTAAGAAAAGTAGACGTTTTGATAAATCCACAGAACAAAATATTGCAATAGCAAAGAACACAGGCCACAAGTCTTGTCATTTCTCATCTCTTGGTGACTCAGTGTACCCCTCTAAAAAAATGAGAATTTCACTGATTCATTATTAAATTCTCCTCCCTGACTGATACTGAAATCTCCCAGTCACAGCTCTTGATCACTTGTCTTGCCATCCTGCCAGCTTGTCACTAATCTCTCAGGATGCCCATGCAAGCAAGCGAGCTAGAGTCGAGGGCCAGCTTCCCTTTGGGTATGCACAGTATTCCATGGGCATGCTTTCTTCCTACATGACTTTTTCAGAGTGCAATCTGGCAAACATATCCCTATTTTTAACCTTACCTAAATGGTGTCATTTGCAGACTCAAGCTGCTTTTTTTATTGATGCAGCAGGCATTTGTTGAGCACTTGTCTTCAAGACACCATCACAGCATAAACTGAAAACTCATAAAAGTGATTATTTTTCTAAGGAGTTAATAGTTTCTCTGTGAAAAAGTCTTGAAATAATTGATACTGATTTCCTATTAGCTAGCTTACTTTTTGTCTTTAAGCATTTAAATAATACACTCAAATTCAGAAATATCTCTAGAACATTTGTGCACAGTCTGTTCCAGTATCGACAATCTTACATCATTTAAACAGACATTCTCTTTCTATAAGTTTTGTTGGTTGATTTGAGTTTATTTGGTTTTTTAAAATTGTTTCCTCAGCTGGCCCTGGTAATTACCTTCAAGCATAATCCTCACATCTCTGCCTGTTGTCACTATTTTCACTTATTATTATGCCCCAGTCTGCATGAGAAAATCAGTAAGTGACACTACCATGTTAGAATTTCAGTATGTTTCTGTTCGAGAATCATAGGTGAAGCTATACAAGAATTATAAAATGATATAAAGGAATACCATTTTTAAGATTGTTGGCCTCCTGTAATAATAGTTATTGCCATTATCAAAGTAGAATTTCTCATATGCTATTACCACCATCTCTTCTTTTCTACTTTCCTCTTTCTCAGGACATTGCATCCAGCCCTCTGTAAGTTCCCAACTCTACAGGTTTTCTGAAAATGCCATACGACTTTAAAAGCCTGATGGATTCTGCCTTGTCTGGTGAAAAGCCTACCTACTCTCACACTACCCCTTCACATTCAAAACTTACCACTCTCCAGCATGGGCATTCACCGGATCCACTGACAGTGTCAAGCCATGGGCCTTCCCTACTCACCCCAGCTGTCATCTTCATTTGAGACTCCGAAGTCTTGGCTGTCTTTCTTTCCCCATCTGGAATGCTTCCAATCTGCCTGAAAAATCCTCTCTTCTCATCAGAGGCTTCCACCTTGACCTTCTCAGTGACAGGAATCTCATCTTTTGCTGAATCTTTACAGTTTATTATCTTCTCCATTCAGTGAAGACTTGTTTTATAATGCATTGCCCAGTGTAGTCTTAACTTTCTCTGTGTTTCTTGTTTGGTGATGGATTGATTCAGTCACTGAGGTGTTGGGGGTGTCAGAGATAAGAAGGTTGACACAGGATAGAGCGGGTTTCAGGGCTATTGTACATAGGGTTGCTATGAGTCGCAAGTGACTTGACGGCACATAACAAGTCAGTAGTAAGCTTCTTAAAATGATGCACGGCCTGTAGTGTGATAGGTGTTTCCATGGAATTGTTGTTGTTGTTCTTGTTGATTGCCTTTGAGTCAAGCACGGCTCATAGCGACCCAATGAACAAAAGGCCTAAGGCCCCTCTATGACTATCGACATTTATCAAAGTTCAGTTCCATGGAATTGGAACTCTGAATTTGTTTTGCTTTCCATCAGGTAAGGCACCTGTATATCTGTGACTTCCATAAAAATTTCATCCAGAGCGTACGAAATAAAAGGAAGAGGAAAACAAGTGATGATGGTGGCGATTCTCCTGAGCATGACACTGACATTCCTGAGGTAAAAGTTAAAACAATCAGCTTGAGAAGCTGAAAGAAAGAATTCTAATCTGAGTTTACCTCTGGCCTGTTTGGGTATTGGTGCTAAGAAATAATTAGTCCCCTTTGCTTTGCTGTGGTTTGATGAAAGAGTGGGTCATAGGAATGTTGAATCTGAGAACTGCAAACTTAGAAATCAGCTGGTTGAACTTCCCCCATCATTTCACAGACAAACAGTGAGACCAGAGGTCACACGTAGAGTGGAGACCCTGGACCAGTAGGCCACACTGTCTTTCTTCAGGAAGCCCCAGACAGAAGCTCAAGTACAACCATTTTATAGATATGTGTGTGTGTAATGAAGGTGTGATTTCTAAGTTCATAGCAGCTCTTATTTTCTATCATTCTCTTGATTGCCTGTCTCCCTGCTTAAGCTTGTCCTCATGGACCCATTCCAGTCAATTAGAATAGAGATTTCTGAGCCATGACTGTATTAACATTGGGGCCTGCTAATTCTGTTTTATGGGGGCTGTCTTAGAGGATGTTTAGAAATAGCACTAGCTAGCAGGTAGTAGATGCCAGGTGCACTACCCCCTAAATCATGACAATATAAAAAAAAAGTCTCCAGACATATGTTCAGGGGATGAGGGCCTGGGAGCCACTGCACTAGATGATGAGACCAAGTCTTTTCAAACCAGAGGGCTGCCTTTCCTTCAAGGTGCCAGTGTCTATTAAGCAAGGCTCCTAGAAGGAATATTAGATTTTCTTTCTATCTAAATTGTTTTCACTTAAGACTTGGCAAAAGAAAAACCATTTATAGCGTACATTGAATATTTGATGCATGAATATTTCATAAGGCAACTGCCTGTTACCACTCAGAGTGAAAATGACTATGTAGGAATAGAAAGAGTAGGCGGGCCTTTGTCTGCAGATGTGAAGGAAACCTTTGCAAATAGCGGCCCTTTCCCTCTGCCTCTCCCTGTAGATCCTTTCCCAGCATTGGTTTACAGTATCTTTCTATTGCCTTTAGCTTTATTATTGTTGTTTTATAAAGAAATAGATTTATGTAATTTTTAATGCTTTTCACATACAAAATCAAAGTTTTGAGGAATGTTTTGAAAAGAATGAAGGACTTTGGTCCCTCGCATTGATCATTCATTTTGTTTTTAAGTGCTCATCACCTGCCTGAAGCAAGAACATCTCTTTTAGAGGCAGGTAAAGGCAGCCCAACTTTCTGGGTCTTCAATATTTCATGACTGTGCAGCTTTCCTCTCTTCCTGTGTTAGAACAAAAGGGGTCCCCTTCCCTCTGCTATCCAGTCATCTGTGGAGACCCTGACCCAGCCTGCTGATTCGTTACTTTCACTCCAGTAGTTTTTGAGCTTTCTCCAGAGGGTCACCAAGGATTCAAGTGCCTGAAGGATGAGCCTTAACAAGAACTATTTTTTGGGGGGGGAAAACCCACAGTTCTTCAGGCTATCATACTTCCTGCCCATCTCCAGTCTCCTGTCAGATGCTAACATGTCTTCCCTCAGGACATAGCTCTGATTTAGCCTTTTCTCTGTTATCTCCAACCCACCAGAGCTAAACTTTACCCTCTCATTTCTGAGTCATTGCTACCGAGTTTCCACTTGGCCCTTGTCTGTCTTCCACTGGAAGCATCTTCCTGAAGCATCACCCTCCACCACCTCTGATGGCTCCTTCTACACTTCAACTCATTCACCAATCCAGTCTCACTTCTGACCACTCCCCCAACACCATCTGTTCTCCTGCATTTCTACACTCATGATCTCACTCAGTCCCTTCTGCCTGCTTGTGCCTTCTAAACCCTGCCTCCTCTAGCTTAAGCTTCACCTTCTCCACTTACATTATGGGCCCATCCCACCACATCAGAATTCATTTTCTACTGTTAGTTTTGTCCTACCAGGGAGATCCTAATCTTCAGAGGACCATTTCTAAAAGTTCTTTTGTTGCCCTCCCACCCCTGTCCCCACCTAAAACAGCTGTAGGCACATAATGGGCTGTCAGTGAGTCCTGGTGGCTGAGGAAAGCCTAATAATGTGCTTCTTCTTTTCTCTAGGTTGATCTGTTCCAGTTGCAGGTGAATACTTTACGACGTTATAAACGACACTACAAATTGCAGACCAGACCAGGCTTTAACAAAGCCCAACTCGCAGAAGTAGGTAGACAAAATTGATCTTTAAAGAGTCAACATTGAGCTTCTAACTGTGCCCTATGACTTACCCCTATTGCTGTATGTGTTTGTATGTGCCTCTCTGTGTTACCCAATTTGAAATCTCAAACCTTTACACCTGGAAGGACCCATTTTCAGAAAAGTAACTATGACACACAAAAAAATTATTTTTACTTAAAATCACACAGCAAGTTGGTGGCAGAATCAGGACTGAAATCTCAAGATCCTAAGTTCCGAGTTTTCTTTTGTTTGACCTTTGTTTTCTACATACGTCCTTTTTACCTATCAGATAGATCACATTAATGATTTCAAAACTTGTTCTGTGTCTGTATATGTGCTTGATATCTTCAATTTAGCTATTGGTAATAGAAGCATACTTGTTATAAAAAATGAAGTACAAGAAAGTTTTCTCCTGTTCTAAGTCTTTGACATGGTTTGAGGGAGCAGGACAGGGCAGACATACTCTACTGGACATTTTTTTAACATACTGACAGCCTGACCTGATACTTCTTCTTTGTACCATATTTGTGGATACATTTTCATTCCTTTTTTCCTCATCTGTTTTTCTTTGTTGTGGAAAACTTGAGAAATGGAGAAAAGTACATACAGTTATACCACGTAGATTAAGAAAGAAATAACCTCTCCATTTCAAAACCAAGCCAAGCCCACTACCATCATGTCAGTTCCTGTAGCTTCAGCTCATTACCCTCCGGTTAACAGTGCCACAGGTATCCAGCTATGCTACCAAGATCTCCTATACTGTATTTCAAATTTGAGGTTTCCACTGCCCCGTGTGTGTGTGTGTGTGTGTGTGTGTGTGTGTGTACACACTTGTCCTAGCCACTTTAAGGGAGATCAAATGATTTGAAGCTGCCAGGAGCTCCACAGAAGAAAGATGGGCAATCTCCTCCCCTGTGATTTACTAAAAACCTGGTGGAGCAGCTACAACTTATTTCTGACTCAATAGCACATAACTATAGTGACCTCAAGCCATTCGTTCAGAATTTCCCTGGAAGCTCAATAAAATCCAATCACTAACTAGATTTTTTTTTGTTGTTGTTACTTTTTAGTGGTGTCTCTCACTGGTCTTTTTGTTTTCTTAAATTTTTGTGTCCACATAAAACATAGGAGCACACAAGTCTTACTGGTGCTAAGATAACGTTGCCCACTTGCCCAGTGTTCATCCCTGGTGGAAGAGACCGAATTAGGTAGGGCAAGAGAAGACCTGTGCTCTCAGGACTTAAAAACATTTTTTTAAAGTGGATTAGATGGTGAGTTTGCCTTCCAATCTGGTAGGTCTCACAAAAGACAGTTTTGTACTATTTAGGGTTGTTCTTGGGCTGAGACATTTCTCTTCGTTCATTTGACTCTTCCTTTAACACCTAAAAGGGGGCATTTTTGCCCTTTTCTGGGGCTTGAGAGGTGATGGTTGCAGCTTGCTGATCAGAACATCCCCAGGCTCTTCATGGGGATGAACATAAGACCCTCTCCTAGACAGCGGTCCCACATGAAAATAGAACTGCATCTTGGGAGGGTTGTGGTTCAGGTTGCTTCTCGAAAGCCTAGAAACCAAGCCACCTAAACCCTAAAAAGAAGGTCATTCTGAACTCTTGGCAGTACTTTACTCATTTGTTAGGATGTAGTGTAGCTGCATTTGGGGAAGTGCCATTACAATAATCGGTGGCCCTGATTTGTGCATGGTTGACAGAACTTTGTTGCTTCACCCAATGTAGACTGTCAGCCGACACTTCAGGAACATACCTGTGAATGAAAAAGAGACCCTTGCCTACTTCATCTACATGGTGAAGAGCAACAAGAGTAGACTGGATCAGAAATCAGAGGGCAGCAAACAGCTCGAGTGAGGAGGAAGCACATCTTAAAGGCATGAAGAACAATGCTTAATGCACAGGTGATATCAGCTACATTTAAGTCCATGAAGACTGTTAAAATTTCTTGTAAATAAAAAGATTGATGAATACTGTAAATCTGTTTGTTCAGGAGGATTATATTATCATGATTAAGCATGTGTATAGAAAGAATTTCTTTTTAAAATTTTAGATCATAAAAAGATTGAAAGAAAAACTATGTATTGCAGAGTTTAACAAAGCATTAAATCAATTCTACTGGAAACGTAGGATTAAAAACTATTTTGGTTGTCAATTTGTAATACTAGGTGCCACATGTGGAGTATAGCCCTGGAACAGAAGTTCATTATAACTGAAGGTGGAGGAGCACAAGCAGCCCCAAATCTGGACTTGCTTGCTGCTCATTGGAGACACATGTTCCCCCTTTGTTACAAATTTTGTAGTTTATCAGCAAATCATTTTGACACTGGTCTTCTTATCGCCCTGTGCCTTCTACACAGTAAGCACCCAATCAGTATTTCTTGGCTAATTGAGCTGGCACAAAGAGTGCCAGCTTTGTAACAACTGCTTCACTCTTGCACTTGACCGAGAGAGACTTCTGCCATTTCTGTTACCTGCCATTTAACTGCTAGAGTGTATGTAGAGGGATCCTTGATGCCCTGGAGCGATTTCACATCATATGAGGATTTCAGGGCAGTTACATGTACAAAGCTATGTTTATCAAGGTTCCAGAAACACTGATATAAAGGCCATCACAGGAAATGTCCTTTGCACATTCCTCTCTGTTTCACTCTTTGAGGTGAAATTGAGTTGGTAAGCCTTCACCCATTCTCTTGGGAAGTAAATGTTTTGACAAGCAGATGTTTAGTAATTTTAGGCTAATGTTTCAGAAGTACAGATTCTTGGTTCACAGTTACCAAGAAAGCCGCCAAGGACCATAGAGGAAAAGTGGAACTCTGGGATTGGAAGTGTGACTTGCCTTGACACACAGGCGCTCAGATCAATAAATCATGGGTTTCCGCAACAAAGGCTGGTGCCATCTGATGCTCATGTTTGTGTATAATTTGTTTTCCCATCAGGGAGTAAGATTGCTAAAATTATTTTTTAAAAAATATTAATAATGACCTTTTTTGTTTGTATGTTCTAAAAAGTCAGATTCCTCTATTCTAATTGTATCAAAGCCAAAGTATTCTGTAAAAACAAAGATTTATATCCAAAAATATGCTTTTTCAAAATTCTCTAATCAGGGTGTGGAGGGCTAGAGGGTGTTGGTAGGGGGGTTGGGAGAAAAAGATTTGCATTTCTGACCATCGTGATGTGTATTATGGTCAAACGTGTCATTTTCATACTCGGTTTCAATTCTGGGTTCTTGCTTAAGCCTTAAATAATAAAAGGAGCAGTAGACAGCTGGCCTAGCAGAATTTTAAACATCTCATAAGAGGCTTAACCAGTACCAACACAGAGAAGGGCTGAACTCCTAGGGGAGCAGAATTGGTAGTCATAGTTCCCTGGAGCAGAGTGCATGCCCTCTGTAGATGACACAGGGCTGCCATGAACTGAAACACAGTGTATTCCATTAAGGCCAAGTCTCACCAGTGTTCAACTTGCATGCTTAGCAGATTGCTGGCTTTTTAAATACATGTAAATGAATGTACATAGACTATACTCTGGACTGTGGAGATCTCTCAATATGCCTCCTGGCTAAGGAGGGCAGGTCAAAGTACTCTCAAAGTGTTTTCAGTCATTCAGATTCAGTATGTATTTAGAGATCTTCTCATTACTTCTAACTCAAGGATGTTGATGCAGGCATCCAGAATCAAAGATATGTGGCTTGTTTGGGCTTTTCTTGACAGGCTGAATTAGAAAGGCTTTGATGGCATCAGTCACCAAATCTACCTTGCCAGGGCGGAGTACTTTCTTACAGGGGCCAACATTGAGGGGCAGATAGAGCCTGTAGGTTAAAGCATTGTTAACCTGTTGTCTGGAAATATTTATATGTTATAGAATAATAAATTGTATCTTTCTAATATTTAAACCAAAATTGTCAGAAAGGCAGACATGTCATTGTTTAACAGCAAATCTGTTTTCCCAGTTGAGACAGCTGCACATTTCTTTACAAGAAGATGTGCTATTAGGATCCATCTGTTCAAGTGTGTCGTTAAGAATACTTTTGTTCCCAAGTGAAGCCTGAGGAAACTTTTCACCTTCATTCAGCCAGGCGCTGTGTGCACTCGAGTCCCGTGCTGTCTTTCCTCTAAAGAAAGATGCTTTGGAAAGGTAGAGTAGGTTGTGGATATCCTTTCATTCTTTGAAAGCAGGTCAAGAGAGAGAAAAGACAAAGCTAACTGAACTTGCATTTTTTCATGTGCAAAAATCTGTTCTCTCACCAAACCACTTGCCTTAGTCTCTTCCTGAAGTTTCTGATGACTTCATCTGTAGCCACAAGACTTCTGCCCGCGAGCAATGGACAGGCCTCCAGAACAACAGGGTCTGGCTTGAGGGAGCAGTGAGGTTTGGGGGAAGGAGTGTTCATCTTGGTTGCCTTTGTTTTTATACCACCTGTCAAAGACTCTTAGCTCTCGTCTCCTGCAATGTTGCAGCATTGCCTTTGCTCCTCTTGGTGCTCCTGGAGAAAAACTGGAACTCCAATCTAGAACTGGCATTGTTATCTCCTTAAAAGAGTACAGTTTCTGCCTTAGTTTCAGCCTGTTATGGTTCTTTCACATGCCTAAAGATTGTCATGTGGAAATGTCAATTATCTTGCCATTCATGTTACTTCAGTTTAAGGTGTTTTAAAAATGGACAAAGTTCTCATTTCTATAAACAAATTCTTAGTTTGGCAATAGCATGTGAAAAAAGATCATAGCTGAAGCCTATGAAAGATCAAAAACCAAAGGATTCAAAACCAGCGTTGTAAAATAAAGAATTTCACTTATGTGTTACAGCTGCCAAGTTGTTAGATGTTCCTATAATAGCTAAATAGTCACTGTAGCCCTTCAGAGGACAGATATTAATAATTGTTTGCAGCTGGAATATTTTGTCTAACCTTGGCATTTTGGCTGTTTATTTTGTGAGAACTTTTCATTAATATCTTGCAGAGCAACTGCTTGGTGAAAGGGAGCTAGCAGGAGAGAGATGGAACTTACTCTGGGTTCTTGTCTCTGTCCCAGGTCCAGATTTCAGAGCGGTTGCTTTATGGAAATCATCTGAAGGCTTCCAGTCATTCACAATGTCAAGATCCAAGTGCAAAAGGGCCTTTATGTCACCTAGTTTCTCCATAGGTGCTTACATTCTGCTTACAACCGTCCCACCATGGAGTTGGGCAGTCTGGGCTTAAACAGAGAACTCACTACCTCTTGGGGAAGCCTGTTCTATCTTTGTAAACCTCTGGCTTTTCTATGTTCTCTGTCATTTCCATCATAGTCTCTGTCCCATCAGGCCACAGGAAACAAGGTATTCCCCTTGGCCAATAACCTAGCTGGTGGCACTATCCCAGAGCCTAGTGTCTGTTATTTGGAAAAGAGCAACTAGGAAATTGTCCCACTTTGTCATGTCTGTGACACAAGATTTTACATCCCCTGTGCATTTGGTTCCATGTTGGAGAATGTTTAGAAACCCCCTCTTCAGCCATATTCTTGCTGAAACTAATGGAATCATGTTGGGGGAGTATACACTCAATCTGTTTTCTTAAAAAAGTAAATAAATTACGCAAGACAGGACTTAGTTCTATGCTTACCCTATAAAAATTAATGTTGACCACCTCACTTAGGAAAACTCCAGCTAGATCTTTAAATATCACCATTGCTCCATTTGGAGTTTAAAGGTTCAATGGCTGCCAAGGGCTATATCTTAATAGGACTCCTGCAAGCACTTCACACGCTGGTTTTATTTAGAAAACAAAGCTTAGGAGCTTGAAGAGGAAACCACATGTCTCAATCTCAGAGAATGCCATAGACTGGAAAGCCTGTTAAGGATGCTGTGGTTCAATCATTCATTTTTAGAGGTGGGGAAATTAAAATGCACAAAGTTCTGCCTGAGCACCATGTGTGTGAACTGACCTCTAGCTCTCCTGGCTTGTCCAGCACTCTGAGCCTTCTCTGGCTTGCAGGCTGACTTCTCAAGACCAAACTGACTCTCAAGGACTGTGAACCAACTTACAGAACTCAAGGATGAATGAAATGATCAAGCCTTCAATTGAATTTTGCCAAAATAATGGTAGAGGACAACAGATGTAGCCTAAGATCAGGCTGTAGAATCCCTAATGGGAGATGTAGGGTTCTCCCAGGGTCTCATGGGATAGGGTTGGGCTTTGTCTTCTAGGCAGTCTTTGAGGTCATTTCATTGGCCTGGCAATTTGCAGCCTCATGGACCCTATCACTGAGCTGGGCAGTCAGCTGAAAGCACAGCTGAGCTCAAAATCATGCTCTGGGAAACATGGTGCTTAGGGGGTACCTTTTAATTCTTTCATTTCATCACAGACTGTTTCCACATTTATGGCTAGGAAGGGTTTTAAGGTGGAATCTACAGTGGAGCAAGGTGATCCTCGTTCTTAAGATAGAAATCTAAAACAGTTCTCTCACCTAGCTTATGACTTTATACAGGATCCTTTTGGTTGCTTCACTTAATGAACACATCTTTGCCAATAACAGAGAGTTGTATAAGATCCCTTGTTTTACATTTTTATTGTCTGTTAACACCCATCAGAATGCATTTTGGGTTTTGGAGGTTTTTCCATTATCTTTCCTTTTTTTAACTGCCTTATTAAAAAGCAAGTGTCCTTCCATTCCAGGCTTCCTCTTATTGTATTTGTTTCCTGCCAAATTTGGGAGATCATTTGTATTTTGATTTTTGTAACCTATGGCTCTGTACTGTTGAAAGGCTCTCAATTCTGTGGGGTCTCCTTAGTATGTATGTGACTTTTCATGTTGTAATATCACACAGATGGGAAAGCCCAACTTTTGCTCCTAATAAATGATCTGAATGAATAACAAGAAACA